ACCGGAACCCCTTTCTGACCACGTGCGATAGCGACGCGAGTGGGCCTCGTCATTTCGCTCTAGCGAAATGATGACATGAGTTACTCCAATACCACGCGACAACAACTCGGGCGGACAACGGGTTTGTTCGCTGGTCGGTGCTGGTTTAGGCTGGTTGGTGTTGGTTTTTTTTAGAGAAAAATATTGTTGACTGGTTGGTTTATGCTGGTTGAAACCAACAAGCGAACAGGCTGAACAACTCGAGCACATTGCAGGTTCTTAGCATCTGTGCCCACAGATTGACATGCGTTCAAGATAGCCGATCGCTTGTCTTAAGATCCAGCTTGTTCGACTTCTTTTTTTAATTAAAACAGTATTTTTCTCTCACAGCAATTCAGTCAGAACAGTGTTTTGGCTCGTTTTTTCCAGTCAAATTCAGTCAAGCGAACGGGCGATGTTCTCAATCTGAAAGGCGCTCAAGATAACCTGGTCTTCCTTCGGGCAGTTGGGTTTTGGCTTGGGGATCCTGCCCTCTGATGCCTTCACTGGGAACTCTTGGATTGATAATGAGGGAGACGGCATCGGGAACTCTTTGATCAACAATGAGGGAGGCGACATGGGGGTGGACGAGGATGCCTCCTTGATAGAGATGTGGAACATCGAGGCAGACGCAGCTGTGGCACCAATGTTCTCCTTGGATATGGGGCAGGCGACGAAGAGGTTGCCGCTGCCGCCAAGGGTCATGGCCTGGCCAACAACCGGCAGATTTTCAGCGTGGACCTTCTCCCACGTCTTGTTCACCACATGAAAAGCATAGGTACCCAAAACAATCGGTTCTTCTTGTTGTGCAGAAACGCCAGAAAGCAGGATGTGGGAGGAGCCCACGGCAGCATAGGACGTGACTGAAATCTCCGGAGGACTACGAAACTGATAGGGGTTCAGTGACGAAGGGAAGAAGGGCGGCGGCGGCAGTTCACACCAGTAGGTCCGACCCACGCCGCCGCCGATGGGGACCTCGTTGTTGAAGCTGAGAGATTGGAACCACGGCTCGAAATCGATGTCGGGCACGGGCACCACCCGGGGTCGGCGCGAGAGGGCGTACACCTCGCCGGCGAGGGAGAGGAGGACGGGGTCGCTGTTGGGGTGCAGGAACCGCGGGCCCTGGTACGTCTTGAGCGTGCTCGGGTCGAAGATGATGGTCCCCGCTCGTAGCCCGCCCCCAACGCCGACGATCCAGGAGCCGTGCTTCGAGTGTACGGAGACGAAGGACATGCCGCGCGCTGTGCTGGGTAGCCCGGCCACGGTGTGGGCCCGCGGCGGTTTGGTCCCACCGGCGGCGGCGGCGGCGTCGACCTTGAAAACGGAGTAGGCCGTCTTCTCCCCCTCGTGCTCCGCCACGAGGTAGACCGTCTTGGCGAAGTCGGATGTCGACGTGGCGCCCGGATTTGCTGCCTGAGTCGTCCTGCGATTCCACCTTGCCATCTCCATGGCTCTTCTTCCTCTTGGGCGCCATCTTCGTCTCACTAGAGGCAAGGGGGAAATTGGGGGCGAGGGTTTGGTCCGGTACTCTCTCTCCACGCCGGATTTCAGCGTTTCAGCATACGCATCAGCTAACCCAAATTTCAGCACAAGCGAATAGGAATTCTTTTTTTTTAGAGCAGCAGAAGAAGAGGGCCTGGATGGGCCTATTTGCGTAGTGGCTAGGGATGAAAACGGTACGGATATTTTCCGACCGTATTCGAGACCGAATCCGTTTAAAGGGGTTCAGATTTGTTCGTATTCAAGTCCGGATATTCAACATCCGATATCGTATTCGAATCCGAATCCGGACAGAAATATAAAAACAAATGTAATATCAGTGATATCCGTTCGTATCCGATCCGTTTTCATCCCTGGTAGTGGCACATCGTGTTGGGCCATATCGAGCCCAGATTAACACATTTCTAATAGGACACTAACCAAGTCCTCAACTACCACTGCCTGTGACACAAATGGAGCTTTGCACGGTTTCAAAACAAAAAAAAAAGCTTTGCACAGCTCAAGATTTCGTGTACAGCGTGTAGTGTACCTAACATACAGTGTAATAGAGACATGACTATGCAACAATCGTAACAAAAGTACACATTTTTGTTGGCACCCCCTGGAATTATTTCATTACTAGCTATATATTACTCATCGTCTGCAGCAAAAACTTGTGCCGTTCTTTATATTGCTTAGTATACCGCCTTTTAATTTAGCTGTTGATGGCGACTGGTCAGGTAAAAATGAAGGTTTTATGCTGTTGAAGAGATTGCATTAGCACTTGAGGAAGAAGTATCTGAAATACAGAACTGTTGTTAAGCACGTGTCCCAGTGACAATAGCAAAAATGTATACCACCATCCAAGAACTAAATTCCAGACGTATAACTCCATTGCATACTAGTCAAGTTCCAAGATCTAGGAGACGAGGATGATTTCGAGACCCACCTTATATTTTTCAGCAAATTGTGACATCTACAAAATTACTAATCAGCCTGTTCGGACACACTTCTTGTAGCGCGAGTACAATGTTCGGACGCACTTCTTTGGTAGCGCTTTTTTTTATGAGAGTACAATGCTTCTTACAAAGCAGTGAAAGACTCTTCACTAATTAGCTTTGCAGCAGTAATGTTCATATCACTCATGTCAAAATGAGCTGGGAGCCAGGAGAAGCCACGATTTGTGACTCCTCCGGCTCCAGGTTCTTTGATACGATACAAGAACCCTGACGAGGTTGCTCTGTGTGTGCATGACTTTGCTTTGGATAGCTCACATGCACATATTCGAGATCATATCAGATCCAAATAATAATTTGCAAGCAATGCCAAAAAGTTCTTAGTATCCAAGATACTACTTTGGATAGATGCATTAGTGGAAAAATGGAGCTTAAGCATGATTCATGATTGCATGTGAATATTCTGCAAGAAGAACCAACAAACATGATAAAAGTAATTAAGCCAGATCAAAATTCAAATCACACTTTTTTGAACACACAGGAGAGCTGGTGGCAAGATACAATTTGTGGAAGTGCTTTCTATGTGGATTCCTTCTTGGAAAGAAGTTATGGGTTCAGTTAGTACAAGCTTCAAAACAAACTCTGCAGTCAATTAAGAGTAACCACAAGGTTGTTGAAATCAGTACAGTTGCAAACTTCAATTACTTGCAGTTGGTTCTGAACTTCCTCCATAGATTTTATAGCTGCTTAGGGTAACTCTGACATCATCAGCAGCTATATTTTTTTTCTAGAGAACAACACAGTGTTTGCTCAATTCCATTTACCCTTATCAGAACAAGCCCATCAGGAGTACTTGGAACTCCAGGATTTATTGCAGAATATTCAAGTACAGAAACAGAAACATTCGAAGGACACATGGACTATATATGGGGAACTAGCACATACACTTCTTCTAAAGTCTACAGCTTCCCGTACAAGAATGTGTCCCCTCCTGCTCTCTTCATGTGGATTTGGAAGTCCAAATGTTGCAACAAACTAAGAGTTTTCACATGGCTCTTAATGATGGATAGACTCAACACTAGGAGCATTCTTATGAGGAAAAAGCACAAGCTGGAAGGCAACAACTACATTTATGTCCTTTGCAATATGAATGTTGAAGAAACGGCCTTTCACCTCTTCTTCACTTGTCCTTTCAGCCAGCACTGTTGGCAGAACCTTAGCATTCAGTGGAATCTTACGACAGACTTCTTTTAAATGATGATACAAGCCAAACAAGCTTTTCCATATCCTTTCTTCATGGAAGTGTTCATTATCTCTGCATGGCAAATCTGGAAGCAGCGCAATAACTCCATTTTTAACAAAGGACCTCCATCCTTCTCTTCCTGGAGAAGGTATCTCAAAGATGAAGCTCGGCTACAAGCGTATAGGATTTCTGAAAACAAACAATCTGTTTTTCTCTCCTGGGTTGATTCCTGTGTATAGTGGTTCTTTGCTTTTCTACCTTTTTTAGCCTTGCTCAGGTTTGAATGGAGGTTTTTTTTGTTTTGTGCAGTGGTTGTTTTTGTGTCTTAATAAAATCTAACAGTGGGGGCCTCTCCTGCTGTTTTTCCTGGTTCAAAAAAAAGCATGGAATACAATTTCAATATGGACAGCTTGCTCTACAAAAACTTCACATTATCACATCTATTAGCTTTTAGCTTCCACAATTGATATGAGACCAACTCCTCTGCACCATTCACAATATGACAACACCACAAAATGGGCTGAGACATGCAACTCCTCTGTAATACCATTCATTCACATGTATTAATAGAACAACCATTGATTGGTATGTATGGAACAAACACCATCAAAATTTGGAGTAGAGATCAAATAATTGATCAGTTTTCAGCCAGAATGTCTTGCTCCCTCTGCTTCTACAAAGCCTTTGAAACAGGGTCAGGGAGAATCTCCTTTCAGAAGAATTCACAGTTATATTCTCTTTTTTCCCATAAGATCATCAATTTTAAAACGTCTTTGCACTTCAACAGTACAAGTCATGTACAGTTGCGTCCATACATCAAGTTCATTTCACCAGCATGTCTTGTCCCTCTGCTCAAAAACGTGTACTTTTTCCCAAGATCATCTTTATATTCCAGTATTGTTCATTATTCGCCAATCACCAAAACTTGCTTCTATCTTCTCCAGAAACTATTCATTCATGAGATGTCCTAACCATTAGTAGCTTTTTTGAGATATCCCCATGTAGCTCTGTGCTACTGAAATTGCAAAATTAATTTTCCATGTGCTTCTCATACATCATCATGGGGCATACAATAAGAATGTTTGATTTAGCAGCACCCAAGTTAGTGAGCAGTGTGACTCATGATATCCGAGTAATGTTTGGTTCAGTAGCATTCAAGTCAGTAATTCATGATATCGTAGGGCAGGTGGGAATGTGGGATCGTTGCATGTATGTAAACGGAGGCTCAAAAAGATCAATTCCACTTCCTTAAAAAAAAATGCAGACAAAAGTCACTACTCCATGAGTTGCTTTTATGTTCACTCCTATGTATCATCTGTTGCACGCCCATCTTTAAGATCACGTAGATACTGAACACGATGATCGTTGATTCCTTTGATGAGAAACCATTTGATCATGGTAGTGCATGTTACCTTGTCTGGTTTGCATCTGTGCTCCTTCATCAAATCAAGAACATCCCACATCTCTGCCAAGCACCCCACCCTCCCATATGCATCCACCAAACAGTTGAAGAACACAATATCCAATGTTATGTCAGAATTCTCAACAATTCTCAACACTGTCTTTATTTTCTTAACTTCCCCAGCTCTTCCATATGCTCTAACCACTGAACAGAGTGTAACACAATTGGGCTTTACACGCTCAGATTTCATTAGCCTAAATATGTATTCCATCTGCTCAAGGTCTCCGGCCCTTCCAAATGCATCAATCACTACATTGTAAGTAACTATTGTCCAAGAATAGTAATACTTCTGCATGTACTCCATCACAGCTCCCATCTTCTCATACATTTTGGCTTTACCATAGGAATCGAGTAAGATATTGTAGGTCTTAATGTTTGGGACAATACCAGAGGCCTGGAACTTCTCATAGCAGCTTTCCATTGTCTCAATCTGACCACTACTGCCAAAAGCTCTGAGAGTAGAATTCATTGTCCACACATCAGGCTTGCAATTTTGTGACAACATCGTCAGAAGAGTTGATTCCATCTCAGCAAACCTTTAAAATAAAATAGCATTAGCTGAGCTCTATTTCATAGAACCCAATTCAGGAATAACTGGATATAATGATAGATTTGGACGGCTAAACAAATGCAACCAAGGGCACTTCTCAAAATTCAAGGTTCAGCTGTATTATCAGTGCATCTACTAGGAAGGAGGAACTGCAGTAACTTCTTACAAAAAAAAAGATTTTTTTTTCTTTTAACAACAATCAGGCTCATTATTAAGAACAGAGTACAAGAGAATTTTCAGAATGCTTTGGTAAAAAAAAATGAAAGAGCATTTCATGAACTACATTCCATGGAACCTAACCATGAATAACTAAAGATTTGGGTGACTACAAAATTCAATGAATGGTAAAACTACTTCAAACTCTGAGATGGTAACTTGTTAACTAGGTTTCAGGTAAACATGGTGCATCCCTTTAGAGCTAGTAGAATTTTAAGACAGCATTTATTACCAAATATATGATCAATCATTACTGGATTACATAAGCATAGGTTCTTGCGGTCAGTTACCTTCCTGCTTTCCCATAGGCATCGATCAATGTATTATAGGTGACGGTGTTAGGCCAGATGCCCGCCCGTGCCATATCAGTCAGCAAACTCTTCACCTTCTCAAAATCATAAGCGTGTAAGCATGACTTGATGAGAATCGAGTACGTCTGCACATCAGGCTGGCAACCCGGGGTGTCCTTCATCCGATCAAGTAGGTCGAATGCCTCACGGAATCGGCCGCTCCTGCTATACGCGGAGACTAGGGCGGTGTAGGACTCGAGGTTGGGCGCGCAACCTTCATCGATCATCGCCTGGAAGAGCTCGTGCGCCTTCTCCGGCTGCTTGCACTTGCCAAGCATGGTTATAAGTTTGATGTAGATGCCGATGTAAGGCCTGTACCACACCTGGTCCCGCATTAGCTCGAACACCTGCGCGGCAGTGGACGCGGCAGGATTAAGCGTCGTTTCATCCGGATAAGAAGTTGTGGTGCGACTGCAATGGAGAGGTGGTTTGGGGGGTCGAAGGGAGCAGGACCTTGAGGGCGGAGTCCCATCGGAGGGCGGCGACGCGGTCGTGCAGGGCCTCAAGGACGGTGCCGGGGAGGAGGCGGCGCGTGCCCTTGCCGGGCTTGCGCTTGTCGAGGACCGCTTTGGTGGCCTCGCGCCGGAGGATGACGGACAGCGCCTTCCGGGACGCGATCTTCCGGTTCACCTCCTCCTTCCGCCGCCTCTCCGCTTCCTCCTCGTCCGCCGCCTCCGCCTCCTTCCCTCTCCGCGCCCTCCCCTCCGCACCAGCCGCTGCCCGCGCGCGCGGCGGCTCGCGAGCCGCGGAGACTGTTGGTAGGAGCGCCAGGTTACGGCGCGCGGAGGGGACCGCCATGGAGGAGGGAGCGGTCACTGGCCCAGCGGCCATTGGCGAGCTCGAAATTGGAGCGAGCTTTGCTGCCGCCGTGAACTACAGCGGTGAGCTGAGATTTTTGTGTTAGCCGTGAGGCCGACCTCCCGGCGGTGTGGCCGAAAGCCGAAAGGACTGGATGAGATTCCGAGCACAAGCGTCCGTCTGCGGTGGCGGCAAGATTGGTTAAGTGCGGCAGTTGCGTCGAATCAACGGTTGAGATCTTCACACACACTTCTCCTTTCAAAGCAGTTAAACATCGAATCAACGGTTGACATCTTGACACACACCTTTCCTTTAAAAAAATATTGGAGTATTTTTTTTTTTAGAAAACAATGCCCTCCATCTTCATCCAATCGATGACACACTGGACATCTTGTGTCGAGTTTCACACCCCTTCTCTGGATATTCATCTTTAGTGCAAGGCTATTCCGCGCTAGTCTCCAAAGGAAATGTCGCACTTTGGGCTGGCATGGAAGTTTCCAAATTTTGCGCCAAATGGTGTTTCTCTTGTTCCCAGAATTGCCGCTGCTACTCCCCCTCCTTGCTGTCGAGTTTTCTCCCGGTTCTTCTCAGGCAGACTTCACCGAAAACTGCCCTTTATTGTCAAAATGTCAAGCTAAAACATCCTCATGGTCTGGATTGGTTGGTGTTGCTAATACATATCGCACGTCCTCCTCCCAGAATACATCACGCACCAGGTCTTCATCCCATCTCCCCGTGTCCGGATGCAGCAAGTCTGCAACCCGGGTCAATACTGTATAACCCCTAGGTGTAATCGGCCTCCTGGTGATCCCATTTGATATCCATGGATCTTCCCCCAAATCTTAATTTGCATTCCATCTCCAATCCGCCAAATCTGTCCCTTTTGCAACGCTTGGAGTCCACGGACAATACTACGCCAAGTATAGGATATACCCGGTCCTTCACTAGCCTGCATCAAGGAGCCATTTGTGACATACTTTGCTCTCAACGGCTGCGCACATAATGAATCAGGATTTTGCAAAATTCTCCGACCCTGCCGTGCTAACATCACCAAATTGAAAAGATGAAGGTCTCTATAGCCAAGTCCACCTTCCTCCTTCCTTCTACACATTTTCTCCCAAGAGACCCAGTGCATTTTATTCTCCTTATCTTGTTGCGCCCATCAGTATCTACATGTCATTTTGCCCATCTCATCACAAAGAGACTTAGTAAGATCGAAACATGGCATGGCATATGAGGGAATTGATTGTGCCACTGCCTTGATCAAAGGTTCTTTGCCGGCCTTTGATAGCAACTTTTCCTTCCACCCCTGTATTATTTTCCAGACTCTCTCCTTTAAATATCCAAACACACTTGCCTTTGATCTCCCCATATATACTGGCAAACCCAAGTACCTTTCATTCATTGACTCTTGTGTAAGATCAAGAATTTCCATGAATCTCCTTTTTGCCTGTGGCTGGGTGTTCTTACTAGACACAATAAAGGATTTCTCTTTGTTAATTTTCTGCCCCGAGCATATCTCATAAATTTGTAGAACATGTCGCAGATGTGTTGCATTCCCATCATTTGCTTTTAAGAGAAGCAACGAATCATCTGCAAACAAAAGGTGAGTCATGCTAGGAGCTCCTGCACATATCGAGACCCCCTGAATTCTTCCATTCATCTCGGCATCATTTAGCAAGGATGAAAAACCTTCCGCACACAGCAAAAAAAAATACGGGGAAATTGGATCCCCTGCCGTAGACCCCTTGAAGGAATGATTTGTTCAGTCAAACCACCGTTCACCCGTATGTGATAAGTGACTGTTGTAATACATGTCATAATCAGTCTTATCCATCTTTCATGAAAACCCAGCCTTCTCATAATCTTCAAACTAAAATATTGGAGTATTAATTTTGTCCTAAAAAACTCCCCTCTCTTCTATAACATTAAATCGATTTGATTAGATCCACCATAGCCCATAGCGCATTTATTTAGTATATTTCTTTAGTCCCAAATTCTAAGTCATTCGAACTTTGCTAATTTATAATTTAAAACAAAGGAAGTCTAAATATATAAATTTTACTATAGAACAATATATAATTTGAAACAGAGGAAATATATGATATGATATCCTCTCTATTTGTAATTATAAGCATTATAAATCGTTGCCTTTTTTTAAATACATAACTTTTTCTATACATCTAAATATATATTATATTTAGATATATTTTTTTACTACATATATCTAAAAAACAATACTTTAATTTGGAACGAACTGCATAGTACTCAAGCTATATCCTATAAATTTAGAGTCTGTTTGGTATAGCTCAACTTCACTAGTGAAGTTTTATAACTTCACTAGTGAAGTTTTTTTTTTTGTTTAGTTTCATAAAACAGTTTCACCAGTGAAGTAAAGCTATTTCAAAAAAAACATTTGTAAAACAGAGGAAGATAGCAATGAGAGCTCGAAGAAGCTAATATTTTCAGATTCATCCACCTTCACCTGAAAAACTGTGCCTATGGAGGAAGCTCAAGAATAGCTTCTAGAGAAAAATTATTTCATTGTCCTATTTAGTAGAAGCTAGAAAAACAGCTTTGTAAAGCTAGGGAAAAAAACCCTACTAAACATGCTCTTAATAATAACAACAGATGTTGACTACTCGTATCCATCTCAATCACGTATCGAAGTGGATTGAAATGCAAAATTGACTAATTTCTACCTTAATCCACTCTAATGGAGATCAAAGTGAATACAATTGAAGCCAAACTAGCCCTTCATGTGTTCCACAGTACACAGGCTTTATAAATTTGGTCCAAAACTATTTGTATTCTAGAGTCTGGAACTAACAACGCAAACATACGGTACTCTGCTCATATGTTCAGACGGTATTGGTCCACAGCACTACGCTTCAATTGCTAAACTATTTACACGGCAGATTCGCTGACGTGAGTCCCAACGAACCATCATTCGCCATGAACTAGCGCACAACAGCAGGCAGATACATTCCCTGAAACGCGCACCAGAACTGTCACCGAGAGCAAGTGACCTTCAGCCAGTACCCAGCACAACACCAAAGCTCCATTCTTCACACATACGAGTCAAGATAGTCGAATGCATGGATCATCCTGTACTGCAACAGGCTGGCATAGACACGGTCGCACACTCCGACGAACAGGGACTTGTCGTCCGGGCTGAGCGTGATCCCAGATACCTCACCAAAGAAGTCGATCTCCTGCCGTTTCTTGTAGTCTGCAGCCACGTTGTACACATGAACAAAGTCGGCAGGCTCCGAGAACACCAGGAACCGACCGTCGGAGGAGTAGCGAATGCACCGGATCGCGCCGATGTTGCCCCGCAATACCGCAAGCGAGGTCGACAAGTTGCGGGTGTCCCAGATGCGGCAGGTTTTGTCCTGGTTCCCGGTCGCAAAGGTCCGGCTATCCGGGTGCCATGCCGTAGCAAATGAGTAGTCCAGATGGCCAACTAGGGTAGAGGTTACCTGCAAAACACATCAATTCCGCATTTCACTTCTCATGTCTGTTCAGTTAGTAACAAAACACGATTGTAAAGCTCCAAAGTATCTCTTGCTGTTACAGTGGTAAAACTAGACATGAGCAAAACCTTTTACGGAAAAAGATTAGTAACTCCACTCAGGACCTCTTTCTCTAAACAGGCCCTAAACAGATGCCCTACTGTACTGAGGAACATTTTAAAAAAAGGTCATGGCCAATAGATGTTACAATGTCAAATATATATATATATATATATATATATATATTTGATAAAGAACCTTGCAATATTGATGTAACGAAAGAATGGCAGTAATAGTAATAAGTTGTGAATTAAGCCACAAAAGCCCAAATTAATAAACCAAAAAAGCCTGAAAGAATAAGCAAAAAAACTACCTTTCCATTTCGTGAATCCACAAGAAGAGCATCCCGATCATCTCCAACCACAGCCAAAAGTTTCTTATCCGGGCTCACGGATGTGTGCTGTTGTTACGGAAGCAAGCAGTGAATGTCAAATATGGATGAAACAACCAAAACAGTACATTGAATCCTAATGAGGTAGAACTTACATTAACCGGCCAGTTATAACGGTAGTGGTTCAAGAGCTGAAATCTCTCCATATCATATTCACGAACACCACAGTCGTTATTAGATACGGTAATGCGCAAGCTTCCACTGCAAAGCAATTTGGAGACCTTTAGATTTTAATGACAATGTACATCTTCAAGTAGGTTCTGAAAAGTTAGTTTCTCACCTTGTCGATCTGTGTATATCTATGGCGTTTGTTATAGCATTGTCACTCAAAGTTGTCCTTGCACAGAATTTTACATTGCGGCCTTCCAAATCCTGTAACAACATAAAAAAAGGTGGTGAGCATGCAAGCAGTGCTTTCAATGAATTGCTTATTCTCACAGCACAGAAGCAAATAAGAAAGTACGCTGGTGATGAATACATCAATCTAAAAAATACAGTGCATGCAGTAAAAAGACTCTTCCATTTTAGATCTTTATCATATGTAATATAATACCAAATAAAATAATAAACAAAGAGAAACTGAAAGGAAATGGACATCTACAGCTTAGATCCTATGGGTGGATAGAACAGCCAAACCAAGTCTTCATTGGTGGCTTACCTTGCCAATTAGTTCTCCTTGAAAACCACCAGCTACCAACAAACCCTCATTCACAGCAAGTGTGCTAACTTGAACCCCAGAGAAACCTTCTAGTAAACTGCCAGGATGCTTCTGTGGGGAGGAACAAAAGAGAAGACCAAACTTGCATTAACAATGAGACCTATTTGATTTTTAGAGAGAGGACAACAAAAAATAAAAATGATTATTAGATCAAAAGGTTGCAAGCAAGAAACTATAAGGGGAATACCTCCGCTGGAGCAACATGCCCAGAGAAGTCGAGAACCTCTGATATTTTGTGAGACAATGATGACCAGTGGCTTACTGTGGAATTTGACATAAAATAGACATCATGCTTCGAGGTTGCCCACAGCAAATTCCTAAGCTACAGAAGCAAAAGTTAGTCAGTACTGTTCAGCCTCGGGAGTCATATGACAAGATTATGATGCAGACAAACACATTAACTAGTCTCCATTTCATAGAAGAGAATGCAAAGGAACACATCTTAACTCTTTTCTTGGTTATAACTAACAAGACATTTGTTTTAAAGCAAGTATAAATGTTCTTCACTTGCTAACATTCCTCTCATCATGCTCTTTTATTAGTGGCTATTGTTGGGTTTTGTCTCTAGCCTACCCCAGCATACTTTACACTAAAAGGCTTTGTTATTATTGTTGAATTATAATTTCATGTAAAAGTTCTATTAGAGCGCCACACAAAAAATGACACTAATTTTCCCCAATGCCTGGCCAACTGGTGGGAGAATGTGGCATGCACGATACCGAAGCAAAAACACAGAACTTTAAATGGAGTGTTTATTTACATTGTGTGGAACCTATGGAAGGAAAGGAACAAGAGGATTTTCGAAAATGAACACAAAATGGCAGATCAGGATGCCTATCTAGCAAAGGAGGATATTATTCAGAGGCGTAGGGCCGTGTGTATTGCGGGGTAAAACAACAAGTGCGTGATCTGTGGCCTTTGTGTTTTGTCCCTATGACCGGTGCTATTGGGCACCGTAGGTGCCATTGTAAATAAAACTCTATTTCCTTCTTAATTGAGCGGCAGAGCTCCTGCCTTTATTTTCAAAAAAAAAATGACACTAATTTTCTTCCTTGAGTTTCTTGCTAATATGGATAGTTGCATACAGGTGGTACATGCAACTTGCAAGTTTGTGAAGAAAGCCTTCTAAATGCTGGCAAGTAAGAACGAAATAGACAATCCACAAGAACTTTTTCTCACATATATAGTACAGTTAGTTTTTTTTGGAATGAGTGTAGTACAGTTAGTTATTGCATATCTTGCAATAAAAGGTAGGACACAATGCAAAATCACCTGAAAATGGAGAATTGATGGCTTCACTGATCTAGTGTTGTGCTGAAACTCGTAATACTTGCTGCTCTTCTCCACTTGCTTGCACAACTAAGGAAAATATTTTGAAAATAATTAGGAAATATGAATATTTGGAATAATAAAAACAACCTTTAATGAAATAAGAGACTAGATGGTAGTGAAGACCTTATCCATGAGCTCTCCTGATTGAGGGAAATTTTCATAGTTCTTATACTGTTCCAACCTAGCTTTTCGGTAATCTTGCCTGGCTATGTGTATCCTCTCCCATGGTATACCTTGTATATCCTTTCCTGCCCTTGCTTCAGCTGCCGATGTGTCCCTTATCCTAGTGAGCTGTAGAAACATAGACAATTATCAATAGGAATAAGTTATAAACACTAAATGAACAACACTGTCTGAGCAATCTTAAGGTTTGAATCAAATTCATCATTTCTCAGTTTTGGCATAAAAATATAGACATAATCCAAGAAATATCAAACAGATTTTAATCGCTGATAAGCTGCAGCGGCCATCATCACGTCATGATTGGTCATTGCCTAAGCCGATGCAGATAAGTGCTGGTGGTCCTTGTGCTTATACCGAAAACATGCCCTCAGTTAAGTGAGTAGTTAATTCAAAAGGTGAATTGATATTAACTCTAATCAAGAAGGACAAGACATGAGTCAAATATTCTAATTGAAATCTGTGTTTCAAGCTCGTTGGTCCAAGCCCAATCAAACAAGGATGAAACAATGCATCTGCAACACCGTGCCATGTTGGGCATAGAAAATTATGCAACAAATGCTTAGTACGAAAGCGACCTGGTAAACCAAATCATTATTGGCTGAAGATAAGCACAAGAAAAGAAAAGACAGCATTCTAGACCTACATGATTGGCCAAAACAAATCTGCTCCACAAGCCCCGTTGACATCAAGTCTCCCTGTCCCATAAATAATTCAGCAGCCAAGGACTAAATGAGGAAAAAATCAACACCGCAACTTAGCCAGAAAATTAGAGTTTCACGTTTTGTCTATCACTTTGCTAATGTTTCCTCGCAATTCGGCATGCGCTTTGAAACTTAGTTGAAAAAAACATACTACTGCTGCTGCTTTATATTCTCCAGTTTGCTTAATTTCTGCAAATTAACATTTCTACACTACCCTATCAAAACAATTGCCTTCTTGTTTTTCAAATGGTTTTCCGCATATACTTTACCACCTGGTTCACCCCATCAATAACATCACACCTACACCATAAAACTTAGCTTTAAATTATAGCAATATAAACTTATATTCCAGATAGAATAGAAACCTAGTACACATGAAGATCCATCTATGTCCATGAGCAATTTTAATGATCTAGCATAGACATGTACCGCACCATGCTACCCACCGAGCCATGAACGATCTGAAGCTCGACTTTCGCATGTGAATAAAAAACCGGCAGGAACCTTAGGCAAGCAATCGAGAGTACCACCGGAGCCATCACGCGTCGGCCACCTCAGATTTGCGAGTTCGACAGCAACAAAAGCACTCGACGCCCACGGCAGGAGCACCAGGAAAAGGTCATACGCACCAGCAAGTACTCATCATCACCATCCGCGCCGCCGTCCCTCCGGTCGGCGTCGAGGTCTTGGAACTCGACTTCCACATCCATCTCCACGTCCATCTCGCCGTCCGACACCCATGCGTCGTGATCATCCACGACTCGCTCCGCCGCATCCGCGCTGTCCCGCGCGCTCGCCGCCATCCCGCTGCCGCGTCGCACCGCACCCCTGTCCGCACCGCACCAACCAAACATTCAGATCACACAGGCGACGCGCGGACATAAGAGAGGCGATCAGAAGGCAAGACACCAGCCCTTACCACGGAGGACAACAAGAGCGGCTGTGCCGCGCGGCTCGCGATGTGCACTGCGCGCCCGCGCCGCCGGGTGAGGTACCGAGGATGGAGCGCGGGTTGATGAGCCTCGGGCCTCCGAGGGCTGGAGAGTGGGGCGGGGGGGGGCGGTGTGTCGGCGGCGGCCTACGGCGGCTGTGGATCGGGAGGCGGAAACGTGTGGATGGGATGAGGGCGCGGGCGCGGCTGTGCTTTTGGTGCCGTGCGGCGAAGCAAGGTTCGAGAGAGCCAAGCTCGATCCGGCAACGCGATGGGGTGGATAGCGACGGGGAGGGGATAATTAGCTAGGGTAATGGCGTTTTCTAGAAGACGTGACGACGGAGACGCGGACGGGATATTTGCAAGGGGCACACCAGTGTGGGCCTATGGCCTGTGGTGGCAGTGCAGTGTAGTTATCGTGTCGGTTGCGCTCGTGGGTCCAGCAGATTTAAGTGAAACTGGCTTAGCACCTTCCTTGTCGTCCTCAGCGAGTTAAGGTTCATACATCAATCCCACGAGCTTAGAAGGGAAGATCTGTGGGCGGTACTGCGGCAAGGTGGACCAGCCGTGGTGACGACACAGGGGCAGCGTGGTCAAGATGGTAGTGGCAGTAGAGAAGGTGGTTGGCAGAGCAAGGGTAGCAGCATCACACTGATAGCCCGACGTGCCGAGTTAGCATGGCAGCGGTGGGCAGTGGCAGGGAGCCGCTAGAGACAGAGGAGGAGGGCAGGGCGAGGGCACGGACACCGTGAATGAGTGGCGGCCGGAAAGAGGAAGTAGCGAGGAAAAAAAGAACAAGGAGGAAGAAGATGTGAGTTTGAATGACATATGTAGTATGTCGTGGGATGCCTCACATCAATGGCCAAAAAATCAAGTGTTTTGCCCCCCACCCCCCTCTCAGAAAAAATCGCGTGTGTGGGGCTACTAATGAGGATGATAAAACGATGATGTCTCAAATTGAAAATGTGTATGGTGTCACTACGAATGTAGTTTGTTTTTTTGGCTTTATTACAAAGATACACAACTTTTCAGCATACTAGGAAAAAATATGATATGTATAGTTAATGATATTAATCATATTAGACAGACATAAAAACACTTAGGACACATTTGGTGTCCACACGGAGCGCTAAAAACGCGGCTTTGCCTTGGATGGTAGAAAACGGCTCTTGCTCCTTCTTTCACCATCTAGAAGCATTTTTCTCTATCCACTTTAGTGCGGCTCCGTCCCTCGTGTTTTCATAGCTGGAGTGGAAGCTAAACCAAATAGACCCATAAGTTACAACACTTAAACTTTTATTAGGAAAAGAATAGCAACCGTGATAGTGAGATATTCTTTTTCAATTTTGGACATATTTAGAGTTTGGAATTAGGGGCTTTAGTCTATAGCGAGGTTTTCTCGATATACATGCTTAGAGAGGAGGTTCGGCAGTGAATGATTGTTGTGGGACAATGGGTTGACATGCACTAGTCATGATAGGTAGAGGGTCTCCAGTTATACATGGGCACATGTACATTCCTGTGACAAAACAAAAGGGAGAGGAGATAAAAAAATGCATGATGCTGAATATGAGAAAAAAAGAATGTGGTGGCAACTCAATATGGTTCGATGACGTTGGAGTCAAAGGTGCAGTGACAAGTACTTTCTCCCTTTCAAATGGGATGTAATTCTATAATAAGCATAGAATAGTGTTCAGTCAGATTATCTTAAATTTTACTAAATTTATATAAAAAACAATGTTTACCATACTAAGTAATTATCTTTAAATTTATCATGGAATATATTTTCATAATATATCTATTTAAAGTCTTAAATGTGGATATACTTTTATAAACTCAATGAAATTTTGGTTAGTTTAATGCTGACTAAACATAGAATTGCATCTGTTTTGGACGGAGGTAGTCTAATAAAGGACACAATCACAATGCTAGATCTAGAATGAGAGGATGGCTAAACAAAAACTAAGACTATGGTTGCTAATTATTAGCAACATATTATTATATCTATTTTTGGTATATAAGATGGATACTACAACCCACCTTTTTATATTGTAAGTGTATGTAGCCTTTTAGTAGGTTTTGGTGGATCCAATGACAACATAATTAAAGGTCTAACATGTTTGCTAAGTGTTGAGCAGGTCATTGTTATTGTCATATACATTTATGATATGCTATATTGTGTAAATCATTCTAAATCAAAGCTCAAATTGAAAGGCAAACATGCATGGTATTCGTGTGACTAAGTGTGATGACATGGCAAGCCAAATGCACAAAAGAGAAGAGATACAAACTAATGCATATATTGATCTTATTATGTTGGTTTGGATATATTGAACTAAGCAACTTGACAAGTGTAAGATGGATATATCAGAAGGGACATGTTCGTTGATGATATCAAATGAAGTCTCAAATGTGAAGCTCGGTCAAGTTGTGCAATAGGAAATCAATATAAGCACTGTTGAGAAGAAAGTTCATGGAAACAATTTAGTTCAAGCAAAAGACAAGAATGCAAATGAATATGGAATAAAATGTATGCCTATTATTGGTTCAAAATCATCATGTGGCTCAAAAGGGTGAAGGTAGCAATGAAAGGGCTTCAAAGGATCAAGCAAGGGCAAAGGGCAATCGACGGCTTGGACATCGATGGACCATGGCTATGGTGAAGAAAAGAGTGCTCGCACTAAGTCTTGCGCACATCAAGCTATGGGAAGTCATATCTTGAGGAGAATCAAATCTTTGTTGAATCGTATGTATAAAGAAGTGACTTGATGCCATTAAGTGAAATGATATATATGGAAATGGTTCAAGTCACTTGCTGAAGATGGTATTGATCAAATGATAGAGGCAAAGATTGTCGCAAGCTCTTATGAAGATATATTCAGAAGAAATGACATATAAAGATATTGAAGTCTTAAGTGGTGAAATTATACATTATTTTTATCTTGAGTATAGGTACGTTGTATTATCAAGAGGGATGCAACATTGAGTGTGTTGACAAGCCTCGATGCTCAAACTAACTAAACTCAAGTGCTAACTTGATATAAACACTTGTCATAATGCAAAACTTGCACATGCTGGTAATCGAAGCTTGGTTTTAGTTGGTATGGATAGTTCTCCGGATAAGCTTTCCGGAATGTCCAAGATCATCAAAATTAGAATTCAGAGTGGAAAGTTACGACATTTTAGTTGAGCTATTCTGGAATTTCTAGGTTTGCTCGGAAATTCTAGGACAGGTTAGAATTTCTGGTCAATTTTTGGTCCGAGGTTCTCTGTGGCTAGAATTTCCAGTCATTGGAATTTCTAGGGCTTGATTATCTTTGTGTATTCTCTGTTTGACCTATTCAAAGTTCCCAGGTCCATAACAGTCAGGTTTTAGAGGTTGAGCATATATACTCCATCACCCCTCTCTCCTAAGTGTTGATTCTAACCACGAAGAACACCTCTCTTTAGGCTAAGCAAGTTCTTCTATCTCCGTCTTCAGATACAAGAATACTGAGAAGTAGAACATATGATGGAGATTCTGTGTGCAAGTTAGGTGTCGAGATGGTCAGTGGCAACAAAGATGACAACGACGGTGTGGCACGAGCGACAATAAAGAAATCTTCAAGTAGACCTCATTTTTTATTATTTATGAGCAAAATATTGGAATTGCTGGTGATGCGGTTGTTTTTTTCCTTTTCAATATTTATTGAAGAGGTTGCAAAACCATACTTTTGAGATTAGTTTTTAGGTACCATTGGAGATGCTTCTAGGATAGGGCGCTATCGGAGGATATCTTTTTTCACCCCACCAAAAAAATCAAGGTTAGAAGTGACTTTTTCAAACCGTTAGAAATACTCTAAATTGATTAGCATAAGTGGTATACTTCACCAAATCACAAAAAAAAAGTGGTATACTTCACCAACTTCTTTTCATCTTCTTAGTAATCATTTTTTTGCTGCTATTCCATTCGTGGCGGTTTCAGCAAGTATAATAGAAGAATCATTCTAAAGCTAATACGTAGCAATTGCTCTTATAGCTTGCCATATTTTAGTGTCCCTTTCACCTTTATTTGCCTCACTATCTAAAAGTATGGACCAAAAGTCATCTCGCTATCTCACCTATATAAAATTGATATATCATATACTATAAAAGCAAAAGCTGATGTAGTAATACTTGGAAAATATCAAAATGATTATGACCAGTCTTAAAAGGAGTCAAAAACAGTGTGAGCAACAGTTGTTTTCTTATCATCAGGGCACTGAGCTGGCTTTGTTAAGCTGCACGGTGCACCCCACCCCACCACCCACTGCTCCAACCTGTAACCACTGCGCTACCTGCGGGTTGCGGCGCGAAAACGCGAAAACGCCAAAAGCCCACCTCGCGTCTATTCACACCGCAGGCCGCGAGCCCGCGGCGCGACCAGGGGCTTGTTTAGTTCATTCGTAAAATTTTACACTCTATCACATTAAATATTTGAATATATGTATTAAGTATTAAATATAGACTAAAAAATAACTAATTACACAGATTACGACTACTTTATGAGACGAATATTTTAAACCTAATTAGTTCATGATTTGACAATGTAGTGTTATAGTAGCACATATGCTAATAATAGATTAATTAGGCATAATAAATTTGTCTCGTGATTTACTAGCGGATTCTGTAATTTGTTATTTTATTAGTATTCAAACATCTCGTACAACATCTCATATATTATTCGATGTGATGTCTCAGAACTTTACGCATCGCATTAAACAAGGCCTAGTTTGCTCCGACTCCCCACAGGCCCCAGCCCGGCCAGCCAGCCCTCCACCGTCTCGTGCCCACGCGCCCAAGCCCCAACCGCCCACGCTACCGAAATTTTTATTTTTAGCTCTTTTTTAAAAAAAATTCATAAATATGCTCTTAGAGGTATGATTTCAAAATCTGGACCTTAGCTCGGCGCCATCATCACATCTCGGCGCTAGCTCGGTGCCACGTTGGCGGTGTGGACGCTGACATGGCAGCCAGCTCGGCGCCGTGGATCTTGGTGCCGAGCTCGGTGCCAAAGATCCTGGCGCCAAGCCTTGTCTTACGTATGGACCCTCCCTTCCTTTCTTTCTTCATCTCTCTCTCTACCGCTCCCGAGCCGCCACCGCTGCCGCACCGCCTCGCCCTCGCCCTCGGTACCCTTTCTCATCTCTCACAAGTATGACATCTGCCTTTTGAGTAAATAGTCATATCCAGGATTACTGAAGTGGCATTGATAAGCATATTACTTTGACCAGTCGATATATTATTTGTCTAAGATTCAGCAATTGCCCAAGAATTGATCCCTTGACATTAAGAATCACTATTTGTTCATAAGTTTTCACTTTGGAAGCTATACACTACTTTAGAATTTTGTAGTGGCATTATTGTTTAATACTCACATGATAAGCAGTCTCAATTTAAGGAAGAAATCCATTTTTGGCCATCCAACTATTGCCTTGTTTTTGGCCATGCAACTCTAAAACCAGGAATCTTTGACCACTGAGGTATCAATACCGGACAAATTTGGCCATATATCTAGTTTCAAAGGTGGTTTTGTATTTTCTGAGAATAATAAAAAATGATTTATATTTTCTAAAAATCATAAGCAATCCATTTTTAAATCATAAAAATATGAAACTAGTACCAATATCTTTCTAAAAATGTAGTCTATCTTCTGGTGCTACATTTGGAGTTATTGGTATTTTATTTGTTCCTATTTCTAGTGTTTTATTGCTCGTAATCATGTTCATTACTTATTTACCATCATTTTCCACTATGTAATACCTGAAATTCACCAACAGAATTCATAGCAGACCAAAAGTAAACAAAAGATTTGTAAGATAACACCAACCTTGCAGGTGCTCCACCACATATAGATCATATTTACCCGTCACAACAACTATGTCATTGTTTTAGCCTTCCTAAAATAATTTGAACAATTTAAACATATCTGGTACTCTATTTTGAGTATGGATTCTTTTGGTTGACCTCTAGGTTCAATATACCACAAAATGGAAAGTTAAACAAATAACACGCATGACTATGAGCAATAAAACACTAGGAACAACTGCAAATAAGACCTAGATAACTCCAAATCTAGTACTCATAGAGATATTATATATTTTTAGAGAAGTTTTGGTACTAGTTTCATATTTTTAAGATTTAAAGTGAATTAGTTATGAATTTTTAAAAACAAACCAGTTTTTATTATTATTAAAAAAAAATACAAAACCTCCTTTGAAACCAACTAAATGGCCAAATTTGTCTGTAGTTCGGTGGTCAAAGGTTTCTGGCTTCATGGCCAAAAACCAACTCGGGCAATAGTTGAATGGCCAAAAATAGACTTATCCCTTCATTTAATGACGATACTGTTGATCTATGTTGCATCATGAAGAATATCTGAGAACACATGGGGATGCCTGTATAACACCAAACAACAATGCATAACGTAAATAGTGCATAATCTGTGAAATGATTTTAATGCTAAGGAATAGGTTGAGGCAATAGAACATTGTCTATCTGTCCATAGGTTTTTGCCTACGAGCACTTGATGAAAATAGTGTGGAAACAGAAGTATTCCCTTCAATATGTATGCAACAACGAGTACACTATTTGATTGATCATGTAATGGCATGTACAGAAATAAATTTGTGCTATCTTGGTTCTTTCTTATTCGTTAGAGGAGGGTTGATTTTCATTCTCTACCTTGTTTTCTCACTGAATATTTCTCCCTTTCCTTTTAGGATAACACAAGCTGCACACGTCGACATGAGCTTGTTAGCACCCTTCTGTCTTCGTACCATAATGGTACCTGGTAAAGGCTCTTTGCCTGTTGCATTCTTGGGAATTATGGCCTCAGTTTCATGAAAATTCATCTCTGGAACATACAGTGCATCACTACCAAAGCGAATCCTAAAATGGACTGGAACCTGTATAAGAATTTCTAAGATGGCAGATGAACTTCTGTGGCGTATCCAGGTGAATGCATACTACTTTTAACCATATAAAGCTTAAATATTGCTTAGACTGTTTATTCTGGTAACAGTATTATTTCATCCAACAGCAATATTTGCCATCCACGATAACCAACTACAATCATGCAGAGGCTCTTTTTTCTAAATGGTGATCAAGATCTTTTTTCATTTCTATTAGTGGAATTTGGTGTAGTGAAGTTTCCAGACTATGTTTGCAGCATCTCTCATTGCATTTTTCAAGAAAGAAGTGATCTACTCCCATCATTCTTTTCTCGCTTTTCAGCTTCCTGGGTCTATTCGAAAATACTCACATTAGGTGTCTCCGTTTATGAAAGAGACCGCAGGTAAGTTGCAATAACTGCTATAATTATGGACCAGCTCAAACACTCTCATTATGCATGGTTTTTGTGATTCATAGAATTTTGGTTGAAGTGGAAACCTTACCCACACTAGAATTGTTTTCTCGTTTTGGGATGTGTTCACATGCCTTCTGGCTCATGGTACAAATTGGGACGCTTTAATCGTGATAGGTGATAGATACTTGAGCATGTGACACAATGGCAAGTTGTTGCACATACACTTTTACAGGCCCTTCTGTTATAGGGCTCATTAAATTCTTTCCTGAAACCATCTTAGAAATCTTGTTAGTTTCTGGGTATCCAAATTTCATGCCAATCAAAATTATAGGTATGAAGATGCAATAAGGATTCTAAAGATACTACTTAGTAAAGTTGCTTGTGATAGACGGCGAGGATATTGGGCACTGAGGCTATCCATTGATTTGGAGCATGTGGGTCGTGCAAATGAGAGCCTTTCCACAGCTGAAGGAGGAGCAATTGATCCATGGGTCCGTGCTGGTTCAAAGTTTGCGCTGCAAAGGAGAGTGCTGCGTTTAAGCAAACCTCCACGACGCTGGAAAGTTCCCAGTTATGCTGATTATGTTAAGAGAAATATAAGAGAGGTATATATCATCCTCACTGTCCTCATTGATGGCAAAAGTTCACATTTTTGGTCTGTTACATTTTCATGCTAAATAATCTATGCTTGTTATTCTTCTATTATTAATAGGCAAGCATTGAAGGAAGGCCATTGAATTGCGAGACAGGAGCAAAGAATGTATTTTATGGTTATGATGGGGAACTTTGTGGGGTAGAGCAGTTGGCTTTACAATATTATGCTGATGAAGGTGGTGGTTGGCAAGGTACCCATTCGGAAGGTGGCATTTGGATGACTATCTTTGGCCTTCTAATGTGGGACGTAATGTTTTCAGACATACAAGACGTTTTCCAGTCTAAATTCCAGGTATGTGACCTATGAACCATGCTTTTATTTTGTTTGAGGTGAATAACCATATTCCCTGCAAAGTCATCAGGAGCCCACCTTGTAGCGTAATTCCTTATTAGATTAGATCCCTGTTGATTTTGTATGATATATAGTTGTTGGACCTTATCCAGATCTTTTTCTTGGTTTCCTACTGTACTTCACAACACGTCTTCTTTGCTCTTTTGCAGACAGCCCCCCTTGATCTGGAAACAGATGACTTCTACAAATCTAGAAAGGACCTTGCAGAATCTCAGTTGAAGAAGATACAAGATGGAATGGCTGAAGAGATGCTCATCAGCTCCTGGGAGCTACATCAGGGGACATCCTGCCAAGGTGTTAACTGGGCCCGTTATTCGTTAACTGATCTACGGGCTGTCGTTGCATGCATTGGTGGCCATCGCTTGGCATCGCTTCTCCGCCATCTAGCAGTTGATTACAGGAGCTGGTCGAGTGGAATGCCTGATCTGCTGCTATGGCGTTTCCTTGATGAAAGAGGTGGAGGTGAGGCTAAACTTGTGGAGGTCAAAGGACCAAGGGACCAGCTGTCAGAGCAACAGCGTGCATGGATTCTTGTTCTCATGGATTTTGGATTCGATGTGGAAGTTTGCAAAGTAAGCCCGGTTACCAAACGGAGATAGTTCTCTACTTCTCTTGTTAAACTTAGTTTGATTGATTATTACGATGCAAAATGTATTTGATTGATTAGATAGAAAGGGCAAATCTGTAACGCATAAACAATGACATTGTTGTCGTGTTGTACTGAAGTAACAAGCAAGCTCTACTTGACGTGCTATAACTTGTGAAGGATACATTTAGTTGTCTGAATCGACACAGTTAGAACTCAAAAACAAAAGTTCAAGAAATATTCTACCACTGTCTCGAGCCTGTTACTCGGCAAACCTTAATATAAGTTCTGAAACCACATTTCAGCATCTAAAATTTTGTTCATAAAGGCCCTAAAAACATATTTTCTTGTCTGCAGATGTTAGGAGACAAAATAAGCCCCACACTGCCCATGTCATGTCACATTCTATTCTTCAACAGCACAAGATATGCAGAGTTTCATTGACATGGTTATAAGGGCCACATGTAAATGAGACAATAGGTGGGAAATCCTAACTTTTCCCACAAATAAACATTCCTGGCTTCAAAGATAAACTCTTTAGTCTCATACATAACCAGGAAAACCAAACAATGTAAATGAAGTTTAGTGCACAGCACACTAAATAATACATCATCTCATGCACTCTTTCAGCAGGAAAGAGAAATTACTCCTACAAGCTAACTTAATAACATATATGTTAATAGAGAAGTACTGCAACATTTTCAGGGCAGTCAAGTAAGGTTGCACAAACTGTAGAACTTCCTTTAAGTTCCATGCACATCATTAACACCGTACAAAATCAAGAATTTTACTTCCTTGAGTAAAAGGAGATGGCATAAGGTCAACAAGAATCGAGGATAAACAGTACTTGCACAAAAAAGAGTATTTCAACAAAAGAAATCAATGAAAGATGTAGAAAATTCAGAAATATCAAACATTGGACACATTAAATTTCATGCCATCTAAGCTAGAGATTCTGTTACCGTTCGACTTCTAAGTAGAACGATAAACAGCTCTCCATGAGATTGATATCTAAGTGATACAAGCATGCAAGTTAAATTTTACAAAACTGAAAATGGCTACAAACTGTAAAAACTTCTGCACATACATATAGAGTAACTCAGGGCAAGCTACAACCACGGAACCTAAGGCAGCTTGACCGTTAAAAACTTGTTTGTGCCATGCTTAACCCAAAAGGTCCTCAAACTTCAAAAGACCGAAATCATATGTTTAAATGAGAACATGATCCTCTTTTGAGGGTTTCTTCCCCTTGTACTCTCGTTTCTTCTTAATGAAATAATACACAGCTCTCCTGCGTGTTTGAGGAAAAAGAGAGGGAACATGATCCAATCACCACATCTGCATAAACTATTAAAGTTTATCCTAGCTAGTAACATAATCACAGCAATGTTCTATGCAATACAGATCTTAAAACGCACCCGAATCCCATAACCTCTGAACTAAAAGAGAGAGCTTAAGGATGTATTATACCAACTTACCTATCAAAGAAAACTAGAACTACAGTACTTCAATGAGATTATGCAAACAACTTAATTCCTGTTGCATTTCCCTGCAGGGAATAACAATTAAAAAACCAACTAATCTGATGATTACTTAGTTTTGTTACATCCAGATATCAATTCAACAAACCAGGAACCAAATCATAAATATTTCGACTAAAACAGAGCCTCTTCATTAAGCATATACAAATAATAACAACCTGCATAGAACTGAACTAATTTCAATTTTTTCAAATATTGCATTATAAGCTCGGATCCATTTTTAATTCTGTCGGAACTCTGCTTCACCAGTCAAATTGTTCATTCAAGCTTCATAACCAGATTTCACCACCTGAACTCTTGTTGCAAAATGTTTTGGAAAAGACACTTATCTCAATGCCAATAGCAATAATAGATGACTTCTCAATCATTTTTGACAACCACAACACTAAGACATGGTCCTAGCCTCCAAGGCTCAAGGGTAGCCTCTTTATTTTAACACATGGATTATGGAACCATAGCAACCAAATACCATAAAGAAAGTTAAGCACAACCTCCACACACCCTTTCTGAAGAAATACTACTTCCTCAAATCGCAGATATAATTCCATCCGGTCTTGTCCATAGTCAAACTTGTTCCACTTTGACTAGCAATATTTACAGAAATATATCTCAAATGTAAAGAGTTATATATTATGAAAGTATATTTGTTATTGTGAATCTAGTAGTGTGAACCTCATGTTGTCAATCTATATAAAATGCTAGATATTAGTGGTCAAAGTTAAAAAAACAGATGGACTTATATTTACAATGGGAGCAAGTACATGCCAACCAGCACTTGACAAGAAAATACAACATGAACTAAAAGCAAAGTTCTATAAACATTTCACGGTGAGCAAGAAGCCAAGAGATAACAATATTTGCTTTTGCACAGACCACTGGAGGCATGAAGATGCAGTCAAGGATTAGTTTCTTGAATCTGTTCTTGAGTATGAATTGTAAGGCATCAAATACATAATATGAGTACTTCATAAACACAACTTAAAAGATGTCGTACAATAAGCTAACAGTTAACTAGCTTCTCACAAGTTATACCAGTAAGAACAGTGTGATCGGGGGTCTCTCCATGCCAGTTTGCATTCAAATCCTAGTACAACTTCTTATTGCAATGCCCAGGGAGCGTCCCCCAGTGGTCAAGTTTCTTTTAATAAGTTAACAGTTATCTCCATGAAAAGGTGCTGGTAAATGTCTTCCACCAGACAAAGTCACAAAACCTTCACATAACGCCATTACTTCCACACAGATCTAATTAATTGCAATGATTTTCATGCCACCTAAATTAGAGACTATTATGGTTACACTAAATTTTGCAAAGTGGAGGATACAAACATACTTCAATTGGGTCAACATCTGAAGCTCGAAATAGGCATGAAAATAAAGTCATTGGAACTGAACATGGCTACAAACTACTCCTACAGGTTCTGTAGATTGGCACATAGACATACAAGCAATAAATCAGGCCTAACTGCAGCTCTACAAGCAGTGGCGGAGATCCAGGATCACTGATTTGGGGTGGAGGGGGGGTGCCACTTCTCTTTCTCCTCATCTTCCTCCATTTTTTCTCCTCTTCTTCATCCATGCATAAAATTGTTGGGGGGCTCCATTTTCCGAGCAGGGTTAGGGGGGCTCAAGCTCCCCCAGCACTCACGCTGGATCCGCCCCTGCTACAACCTACAAAGCGATAAACATAGCATGCCTTTTTCTTTACCTGATCGTTACAAACTTATTTGTGCCGTGCTTAGCCCAAAACGTCTTCAAGTCAATTGGATTAGCAAGGTTGTACCCTTCACCAGCCAACTTCTCAAGCACCTTTTTGAATGCACCTTGGCTCATCTTCCTTCCAGAAATACGTGCGCCCCGGCGCTTTGTGCTCATTGGCAGTGGATACGTCGATATAGAAGTTGTGCAGCATGCAGACTGCCAGCCACCTGGACCCCATCGGTAGCATTGCTGGGGCGCTCCGGTGCACGAGCACACTGGTGTTGGTATGGTGGCAAGGTCCAGCTCAATACCATTAATCACCATCCCCACAGTCTTCTTAGGTCCCCTCCTTCGGGGCGCATGCCCACTGAGCACCCCATCCTCCAGTGGAACAGCAATCTTCTTAGGCTTCTTAGGCTTTGGTGACTTAGGCTGCCGATTCTGCTGCCGGCCTCGCTGCTTCTTTTTCACAGGTGGCCCGGTACTAACAACTGAGTGATCCTCAATCAGTGGAGGTGGTGCTTCCTCTTCCTTGCATGGAGGAGGCTCCTGAAGCTGTGTCTCAAGCTGTGGTTGCATCATCTGGAGAGTATGTTGTGCATCTGATATCATCCCATAACCAGTAGGATGGTGATGCACAATATGTCCGACATGCGCAGGATGGCCACCATGGACTGGATGCCCAGCATGCCCAGCTGGTCTGATAGGACGAGAATGAAGGACCCTCTGCTCACTGGGACGTTGGTGGTGTGACTGGTGCAACCAAGCTTCATTGCGTGAGAAATCCATGTGAATAGGTTGCGACTCGGTGGGCATGCCACCAGAGGCTCCACCACCAGCAGGGCCACGGGGATGTTGTGAGTGCTGCATGTGGAGCTGGTGCGGGGCATTGTGGTGTCCATGGTGCTGCAAGAAGGCACCGTTCGGGAGCAGTGACTTTGTGTCCCGGTCAGGTGGCACGGACGACATGAGCTGCAGGCCGAGGTTGCCTTTCACAGTGTCGTAGAAGCCCCAATTCCGAATGCCTAGGCTGCCGTCTTCGTCGTCCATATCTGATTTTTGTGCAAAAAGCAAATCCACCTCCGAAGACCGCAATAAGGAGAAGAAAACCGAACCTTCTCGCGGTTCTGATCAGCTCATCTGTGAAATCGGCCCTCCAATCGGCAATCCCTACACACCCATTTTGGCAATCAGATCAGAAGAAGCAGGTCTAATAAAAATACAAAATTGCAGGAACTCTAGATACAAAATCGAAGCCAGTGGTGGGCCTAGTTGTAATGGTTAGGTCAGATCCGGATATAAATTGCTTCAGTTAGGGTTTGGGGATGCTCGGTTCAGCACAGCAGGAAGGGATGGGCAAGGGAAGGGGCGGTCCTACCTGGTGGATGTTCGTCGCCGGCGAAGGACCCCGACGAACAAGGTCGGCCCCGCTCGCCCAGCCGTCGACGAAGGGGGGCTGGGGGTGGTCAGAGCACGGAATGTGAACGGATCCTCTGCTACGCCGCCGTGCCGTCGTTGGACCTCCTATCCGCCGCCCGGGCACCGCCGAACGCCCACTCCCTTCGCATCGTATTCGTATAGGTAGCTTAGCTCCCCACACGCAGCCACGCAGGGCCCAGTGCATACGTAGGTCAGGTGCCACAACCACGGCCCAATAAAAAGACAATGTAACCAACCTCTCCGTACAAACCGTGCAAACCAACTGCGGAGGAGAGGTGGGAGGAGAATTTGCAAAAGTGTAATTAGGAGCGGGCGTAATTACACTTTTGTAAATTCCCCCCTCCCACCTCTCCCCCGCAGTTGGTTTGCACGGTTTACACGAGATATTGGTTTGCACTAGATATGTTCCCCAATAAAAACCCT